TCCCCGTCGATGTAATACGGTTGCCCTTGTGAGGCAAGTCTCCTTAAGTCCTGATGTGGCCGTGCCCTTGCGAGGTACGTAAGCCCATATGGAAGGTTGTGTCCGTAGCGTGGCATGTACTCCCGCCTTCGGGTAATGAATCCCCGTTCTGCGGCTAGCGATAGATATGCACAGGAGTAATGTGGTTGTTGTATTTCTGATTGGAGATGAGACATGATGTGATTATCTTATATTCATGCTGCGACAATACCATTTTGACATGTGTTATTTATGTGCATAGTAGTGAGCACTACTTTTATCTTGTGCTCACTCCCACCTGCTCTTCACGGATGCAAGTTAAGCAAGTGTCGGATGACGGGGGAAAAGACGAGTGGGTTGGTCATGATTTATATGTTTATGATTTCGCTTCCATTATGAATAAAGTGTGGTCCTTTGAGACGTGTTGAACTGTTTTCAAACTTGTCCGTGTCGGGATTTTGGACCCTTTGTTTGATATTCGTATGAGTTTTATTTATTGAATATCATGTGTTTTCGATTATACATGCTATGTGGGTTTAGCTAATAATCATGTGGAATTGAAATTTTAAAAGGTTAATGAAAACCATGTGAACAACCAGATACGACTTGGTTGATGTTAACTGTTGTATAACGCCCATGTTTTTTTCAAAAATGAGTTCGAAAAATTTTATACTGGTTTTTGGAAAGTCCGGAATTTCTTTAAAATCAAAGTGGGGTGTTACAGATTTAATATCTTTTTAGCATTTGGTAACATAACTATAATATATTCTTAATGATATAATGGTTTACTTTAGTATAACTAGAATGTTGGTTGCAAATACAAAAAAAAATATATTAAATGCAACCAACATTCTCCTATAAGATAAAGGTTTTCTCGTTATGATGAGGTTTTTTATCCATCATTTTCTTCTACACATCTATTAGATTAGATGCAGCCAATATTCTGATATAAGATAAAAGGTTTCCTCGGAGCGGGATGCATGTCACATGTCAACTAAACTTTTTGATTTTTTTTTAGTTTGTTACTTTTAATTATCACAAATTTAACTGTGTGAATTGATTTACAACATACTCTACATTCAGTTTTACAACACTCTACGTTCAATTAAGACTGATTTTCATTTGCTAATGATTTATAAAGTTTGATTATTAATTTGACCAAATATTTTGCTTATCGATTCATAAAGTTTGATTATTATTTTGACCAAACATGAAAGATCAACTTGTTGGGTCAATGTTGTTAATGTAAACAAACATAAAAGTCTTTCATATTTTTTTTAGCCTTTATCAGTTTGTAACGTTTTATCAGTGTAGGAAACATTTTCATGATTTTTTATGTATTCCACTATTTGTTGATTCATTACAACTTTGAACAATCTATGAAAATTATTAAGCCGCCTTCTGGCAAATATGTATGGAGTTATGTGTTCGTGTCTCATAAGTCACAAACATAATGAAAAACATTACAAACTATTCATTCAAATTTTTATTCATTGCAAATATATTAAAATAGTTTATATACAACCATTAAATACCACTTTCAATATATTTATAAATAAAAAGTACATAAAATTTCTGGTGTGTTCAAATTTAAATAATTTTTTACGGGCTCAATTTTAAATCATTCAGACATTTGGTCAAACGCATAAGTGTGTTCAAATTTAAATCATTGGCATTTTGTTCGGTTGAAATTTAAATCATCTACCATGGTACTGTGATGTGTATAATATATATATATATATAATTTTTAACAAATAATATGTGCTTTATAAAAATAATAATAATAATTTTACAAGATTTTAAACGTAAAATTTGGTTTTTAATCACAATAGAAAAATCATGGTAAATTGTATTGAAAAGGTATTATGGGATAAAACAATTAAATAAAATAATTGAATAAAATACTTTATGAAAATAGAATGCATTAATTACTTTTGACTTTTCTTACTACTAATTTCTAGTAAATATGATGACTTTTTATATAAGTATAGATAGAGAAATGCTCACTTACACACGATGGGCACATGTTAATATGCCCACTGCTAGGTGGCATGCATTCATTGGTGATGTATTTTTTAAACATATTAACATCACCAATGAGTGCATGCCACCTACACGGTGGGCATATCACCGTGGGTAGAGGAACATTTCTAATTATAGATAATTGACATTTGCCAAAATTTATGTAATAACAACATTTATGCATTTGAGATGCTCTTATATATGTAATACTATAAATATTATTTAATACTACATACTCGTTCATCGAGATCCATACCAATAATAAGACCGAGTGATATTATTAAAACTATGCACTAGCTAGGGGTGGGCACGGTTCGGTTAACCGAACTTTTTGAGGTATTTGCTAACCGAACCGAACCGAGCAAATATTCGAACTCGCTAACCGAAACCGAACCGAAAATCTCGGTTAACCGAATTTTCGGTTAACCGAAAAAAATCCTACTATTCGCGAATTAACCGAACCGAACCGAACCGAGCGAACCTAACACAAATCTGCTTGTTCGCAAATAATAAACCGAACCGAACCGAACCGAAAACATTAATATAAATATAATATATATTTTATAATATATAATATATAATATAATATATATTTTAATAAAATATATATTTTATAATATATAATATAATATATATTTTATAAATTTTAATATAATATACGGTTCGGTTCGGTTAACCGGGGTAAAAAAATCTTAAAAACCGTAACCGAACCGAACCGAACAAATACTTCATTTGAGGTATTTGTAACCGAACCGAGTCCCCCGGTTAACCGAAAATTCGGTTCGATTTCGATTCGGATCTACGATTCAGCGGTTCGGTTCGAATTTTTTG